AACATGCATTAAGCACCCTTAACATGCATTAAGTACCCTTAACATTCATTAGATTATTCATAATACATTGCAGCAGCATTTACTACCACTACCACAATTCCTTGCAAGAGAACTGAAAAAATATAAATAAGAAAGAAGTGGTAAAATAAGGCCATAATCGTGTAGTCTATACGGGACTCGGGGGCTGGTTAGCAAGGGCGACGGTCTCCGCATCCTTATTCCTAAAGCTCTATCTTGTTAATGTTTAGTTCATGTCTAATTTTATGCCCAATAACTTATTGATTATAACTTCTTATTAGAATTTCCATGACAACTACGACCGCTACCGACGTGAACTCGAACAACTGACGACACTTGCCGAGGAGCTAGACCTCGAACGAGTTATGGACAACAGCTACAGGGCAGGTCTGGAAGAAAGACTAAATAAACTCAGGCCATTATGGAAGACTGCTTGCAGGTCAGATATTAATAACATTTTACTTTAATCTTGTCATATTTGACCGTTTAACTTATTTAACTTGTACTATAAGTTTTTTGCTTTGTTGTTGTTTGTTTGTCTGTTTTTTTGTTGTTTGTTTGTTTTTTTAGTTGTTGTTTTGTAGTTGTTGTTTTTGTTTTTCGTTTTGTTTCTTTTTTGTTGTTTATTTATTTGTTTTGTTGTTTGTTTGTTTTGTTTTGTAGTTTTTGTTGTTGTTGTGTTGTTTTTTTTTTGCTTTAGCAAAACAGTTTTAGATTTTGTGGCTACTTGTTTTATCTTTACAGGCAAATGGAAGAATACAAGGAGTATTTAAGTGGCCAAACCAAAAAACTGGAGGACTTTCAACGTCTTTGTCATCAGTTGTTGCGATGGATGGACAAGATAGAGTCACACAGTGGATTTAGTATTCCGAACTTCAACAGTATTCATCAGTTGAAGGAACACTTTGAACATGTTAAGGTACGTATCTAACTTATTAGCCGCACAGTAAAATTAGATAAACATCAGTGTTGAGGGGTGGACAAAAGACTGATTCCAGATGGGCGTAATTCCCATTTCAGACCACGTGCCATCCCCTTGAGTATTGTGTGCAAACGCTTGATAGATTGATTAATCTAGATAAAACTTATACAAATAATCCTATTCCCGTAGGAATCACCTGTCGGATCTGACTATATGAAAGCAATACCCCCAAGGGTTGATTTTCTCTTTGAAAAATCAATTCAGAAACCTAACAGCTGTTTTAACCGAAAATGCAATGACTCTGATCCAGGACTCAAACACGTGCTGGCTTCTTAGAAATACATATTCTTATAGAGTGTGTGCAACCATGTAACTCAAAATCCCTTGAGATATAAATAACAATGAAACAGCCGCGCTCTTGGTTGATCTAACAAGAGTAGCCTGAGTGCAGACCGAATTTAACGCAGGCTAAACAAGGGAAGCTAATGAGGAATGCTTTGTTATCGTCAACCAAGATGGCGGCTACGACGTAACCTGCACATGTTCTATTCCTTTTATAACACTTTGATCAACCCAAATTCATACATGACAACCACTATTCCTTTTTCATAGGCCTGTCAGAAGGAAATCTCAAGCCATCGGCCTGAATACGAAGCAGTTTGCTCCAAGGGTCGTCAGATCGTTCAACAGTTGACAGGAAGCATTGCTAAGACGTGTGATGGAGAGATTGAGAATATCACTAGACGGTGGATGTTACTGACCAACAGGATTGCCAGTAATCAACAGCACCTAGAGATGTCGCTTAAAGAATGGCAAGAGTATTCAACACAGATGGAAAATATTATGGTCTGGCTAAGAGAGAAGGATAAGGTTCTCAAGAAGCCATCGAAAGCGACTAGTGTTGAGGAGCTCGAACGAGAGCTGAAGTCCAAAAAAGTATGTAAAACATTTTGGTTTTGTTTTTGTCTAACAAACCTCAAAGAAAAATACCTGGTAAGAAATGGGAAAGATAAGAGCAACAACAACAGCAACAACAACAACAACAATAACAACAACAACAATAATAATAATGATAATAATAATAATAATAAGCTTTTTAGGGTTAGATTGGCCTTTAGGTTACGCTTAGCGCCCTACTGTGCCACTTGTATGGAGCATACTAAAGTTTAACACTGCTGTCATAAGAATATAATAATAATGATAATAATTAAAATAATAATAATAATAATAAKGATAACAACAACAATAACAACAACAATGATAATGAGAATAATGATACCGTAAAATCGACAAAAATGTAAGTCTCTTCATAAAAAATGTCTGTTTTTAACTTGAATAATGGATATTTTATACATAGATCATTGGTAAAGAATTCGATGAACGTAGACAACAACTGGAAGACATAAACAAGCGTGGGAAAGCTTTGATAAAGACCGCTGACCAGCGTGAATCAGAACGGGTTAACAAGCAAATCGCTTCTCTTTCTAATCTATGGCAGAGTGTATGTCAGACTCTCTCCATCTCTATGCAATCGATTCTTGATGTAATTAAGCAATTTGAAACCTTCACTCGGTTACATGAAGAGCTCAGTGAATGGTTGGGCACGGTGGAATCGTCAGTATCACGTGATCTTGAAGACTCATTTTTGAGTGGACCAGACGATCAGGCAGATACAGTTTTCCAGGTAAGTCGAAAGGGTTGATTCAAATAGTTTTTATTTTTTATCTTATTCGTAAACTGTGACATATTTTACACGTGAAATTAAATGGGGTATATTAAAAAATTGAAATATAACCCGCGCGATGTTTGGCTGGCTTTCATGTTTATATCAGACGAAAGACAGGCTCGCGCGAAATCGTACAATAGATATTATATAAAAGCAATATAAAGCGGCTGTTTATGTCTCTGTGTTGTGATATAAATACTCTGGGATCTGTCGAGCAATGCGTGACCAAAATTCAATAAATGTTTATAACAGTTTGCTTTAAAACCTTGTAATTAATTTACATAACCCTACATATTTGATGAAGGTCGCAGTATCCCGACCGAAACGTCAAAATAAAATTAGATAATTATAGAAAATGCACTTCTCGTTATATATTAATATACCTGATTACCAAATCTTCAACTTTAATCACGTTTAACTCGTATTGGCCTTTTTAAAGACTACTTAAGTTTCTTGAACATTTCAATCTAAGGTCTACGTTGCTGATATCGAAAGACACGAGGCCGTTCGCTCGCGAATGAATGAAACTGCTTTTCACGTGATCAGTTGCGGAAGTGGAAGCCCGTACACAGAACACGTGACGAAGAAACAACAGGAGCTGAATGAAAGATGGCGTACGCTCTGCCAGCAGCTGGGCGTGACTTATAAGAAGGCTGAGGAAACCAAGTACGAGTTGAAACTCCTTGAAATTCAGCTGAAACAGCTCAACGCGTGGATGACTCAAGTAGAAAACAGATTAATGACGTTCACAGTTGGCGATACTTGTGATATAGTAGAAGTACAGCAAAAGCACAAGGAGTTAACAGTAAGTAATATTTAAGATATAGAGCGTTTTCACTGTCSCTATGGAGTTAACTGACAATAGAAAACTAACAAAAGAAACTAATGACAAAGTTATTGTCAAAAGTACAAACGATGTGAAAACGCTCTATAGAATAAGAAGTGTGGCAAGGAATGGGTATTTACATTAGGAAGCCAGAGGGTGGCCACCCGATTGGCTTACAGCCTGATAAGTAATGATTTTAGCACCCTATTTAGTGCTTTCCCTTCAGTTCAGACCATTTGTCATTCCCTTGAGTATTATTCCTTTCAGTAGATTGTGGTGGTTTTTAGACTTTTTCTGACAATTTCATACTCATCAAATCCAAGAAACGGAACGGTCACGAACTTAAGCAGTTGTCAGTTTTGGATGAAAATAAGTTCAAATGTTTTTCACAGGAAATGCAGGAAGATGTCGAGAGACACTCCGATGATGTTCGAACTGTCTTAAGATTATGCGAGGTAAGAAAATACAAAAAATGTCCAAAAAATGTACAATAAACGACGAAAATTTGAAATGGAATTCCATTTATACATTTATCCTGCTCATCCTTTAGAGACTGGAGCGAGACCGTACAGCATGTTCGACTGAAGAAGACCGTCGCGTTCTTCGGTTTACTAGAGAAAGTTTCGAGTCCCGCTGGGAGAACGTTAGCAAAACAGCACTTACAAGAAAACGGCAGTCCGAAGAGAGATCTGTGCTTTGCAAAGAATTCTGGAACGAATTCSGTAAGTTTGTGGAGTGGCTTGATGAGACCGAGAAAGGGCTTGGGACAGCTATATCTGGAAGGACTGGATATGGAAGCCCACGATCCAAGCTTAAAGTCTACGAGGTGAGTTCCTTGTTAGCATCGTTTGGCGTTCGAATAAAGCGGAGCAAAGGTGAAGTAAAGCGTTACCACAAAAGACAATCAGTTCTTGGAATTTTGGTGCACTCTGTTGCCTCTCGCGGGAGTAGTTTTTTAATCCAGCTCAGCAAGCGAGTGCTGTTGTCGCAAGAGGTCTGTCGCACGCGATTAGAGATACATGGAGGGCGGAGTGGGCTTTGCGAAATTCTATTGCGCGAAAAAAAAGTTCCGTTGAAAAGTTTTGCTTTTCGTAAAGATTGCGTATACCGAAAAGTATTACAAAAAGATAAAACGATTTTGGATTTTGGTTTTTGGTATCCCATATAAGCATTCGTTTTCTAGCAACCTGTCGCTGAATATCTTGCCTTGCATGTCGACCATTGTCAGCTTGTACGTTGCCATTTTGACTGATTTTAACCAACAGATCTGCCTCAGAAAGACACCTAATATGCCTGTTGTGTGTGTTTTTTTTACAGACGTTCCGTAAAGACATCGTACAACATCACGCTCAGATTCAAAGGATCGCATCAAGAAGCAAGTATCTCATCCCTGACTCTCAATCATCACTAGCTGTCAATCGTCTTCAGGCAGATGTGAATTCAGCMAAACAACGCTGGGAGTGCTTATCGAAGAAAATACAAGAATTAGTTACTAAACAAACCAAGGTTGCCACAAGAACTGAGAGATTCGAGTCTCTCAAGGATTCCGTAACGTCATTTGTGACGGAAGTGGAGCTTAGTCTTATTGGCCTTGATCCTTTTACATCTGAGGAAGAACCTAAGATGCAGCTAAATAAACTCAAGGTTCGTCTTACCTTTTCCTCTTTACCATTAACCTGAAAAGACTGGTATCGAGMACGTGGTGTATTGGATAGTGGTTTTGTACCATCACGTAACGGCAGCCATGTTAGATGGCGGGAAAATACAATCGTTTTACATGAGAAAGAATTCAATTCCCAAGTGCAAAGGGACTTTATTGTTCTGCCATCTAACCACAGACAGCCCAAGCTGTATTATTGGCGTRAGCACGTGATGGTGCAAAACCTTTATTGTGGGGCTGAATTTTTGGATTGAGATCGAAAATACTTCGCCTTCTAGCRTCCTTCAATTTTAGCCTAATACACCACGAGATCGTAAAGGCTTTCAGTATATTGAATTTAATGATTGCGCATGCAACTTTTGCATATCWCACCAAATGCTGATCAAAGGAGGTATGGCAATGGAAACAGACTCGTTGGTTGGTACTGGACTTTCCGAGGTTATGCGGAAAACTGGTAACGAGTAGGACGCAAGTTGAATCTCTGGACTGTTTTAAACGGCGCCATCTTTTCCCAATATATTTCAATGGGCGTCGTACTTGTTACCAGGAAAGGCCAACACTTTCAGTGCCCAGTTCCTTATGTTCCTTATTCCACATAATAAATCAAGCAATCGACCAATCAATCTACCATTAATTAACAGTTAACAAGTATTGCTTGTTTTTTAGAATCTTCAGAGAGAAATCAATAAAAATTTCCCAAAAYTAAGGGCTTTCTTGCAAGAAGGAAAGTATCTACGTGACTGCTGCAGTAGTGCACAGTATCAAGCAGCACAGAACACTATGGAGGAGTTGAACTCGCGCTGGCAGAAGGTTCGTAAAATATCATCGGTTTTGTTGTTGTTGTTGTTGTTGTTTTATCCTTATTTTACTGGGGGTGATGGCAATGGATKGTTTCGACGACAAAGCGGCCATCATGCCAGGGGGGAAAAGATGACGAAAAATATATAGTTTTTCTCTTGTTCTCCAGTTTTCCTTCAAATTCCTTGCCCTCTGACTTTGGTCAGCCTAGAAGTTGTTTCAGAGTTCGATCTGTGAGTTAGCCGTGC